ATCACTGGCCAATCCCATTTTGCCTTAGTCTCTCAGAAGTGGACACAAAGGCAGAAGCCTTGTTCTGCCTAGGAATAAAAAGAAGCTGAGCCTCTCTCCCCTTCACACAACATTGTTCATATTGGCCCAATTTACTGACAAAAAAATGCAGCGAGACTATTTCCCTGGAAAGAATTGCATTTCAACCAGCTTTTGCTGGGCTGCCAACTTCTCCCAGTTGATCACTGAACCACAGGCTGAGCGTTCCCACCTTCTGCTGCCATGATATTCCTGCCCTAATCACAAAAAAAAAAAAAAAAAAAGAGATTCCTTTAAAAAGCCGCAGGCTCTTCATGCTCTTGAGAAAACCAACACAGAGCATCTACTGCTGTCAGTTCTGGGCCACCACAGCATGTCTGAGACCAGCATTCCCAAGAAGCTCCCAAACCAAGACTGCAGATCGCTCCTGCAGTGCTACTTGTTTCCCCAACATCCAAGGAGAAGGAACATACTGAACCCCACAGTAGCCATTCTCACTCCTGGGTCTACAACCAGCTTTCTTGTTAACCTTTTCTTTGCTCAAAGATTTGGTCATCAGGCTTACCCAGAGAGCAACTATTTTTTTCTTTGCCATTGTTAATGGATAACGCTGTCACGGTAGTTAAAAAGGCATACGTGGTATGAGTCAGCAAGAGAAGGTAACACGCATGGAGGTCCTGGAAATTCTTCCTTGTGTCTTTCTGTCCATCTTCTGAAGAGTCTGATTTTGGTTAGCCAAATATCAGCTGGTGCTTCAGAGAAACAACCAGGTGGGCTGAGGCATAACTTGGCCCAGAAGACAGGAGTGCATTGCTTTGCTTGCTGCTGGTGAGGAAGGCTCAGAGCTGGCAGCCAGTTAAGACAGCATGACAAACTCCAAGAAGGTGAAAAGGACCTGAGGGGAAAAATTGGGTGCCACCGTGCCTCACTACCCATTTTGATTATAAATTCTGCTTTAAAATGTAACTTATTGTTGCACGTCTGAAATATAATGAATTTTATAAGTCAGACCCACTCCTAGAGCCAGTGTTTTGAAAGTGTCCAAAGGATGATTTTTAACCAAGTAGAGGTTGAGCATGCATGTAGGGAGCACTTATAACAGAGATGCTGTAATGATTCAGTAAATGATAAACTTAAATGCAGTTTAGATCTGCATGGTAATGAAGAGAGACCTATACAGGCTTCTAGGCAAGAAATAAAAAAATGTCAATTTATTGCAGTGCAGAGTTTCATTATCCAATTACACAAAGTATTAAGTATCTCATCATAATTCAAGCATTTTTGTCATTTACCTCATGAAGATTTTTTCTGAGTTTAACCCTTTGCTTTATGGTAATTCTCCTGGGAGCAATTACTAAATTTCCACAGCAGTAATTTGCGTAGCGTAAGAGCATGTAAACTCCGCCTTGCTCACTCCTTCATAAAGATTTTGCCTAGAAACGTACTTTTCCCCCTTCACATTATTTAAGATATGACACACGATCAATAACATGAAACTGCAGAAAATTATATCATATGATCATTCTATTGATTTTTAAAAGAAATAATTAAACGAACTGTTAAGACCAAGTTCATCAATACAAACCGACTCCTTTGTCCCCCGCTCCCAAGCAGGACAAATCAATCAGGGTCTCCTGATTAGCAGAACCAGTTTCCTGGAGCTATTGCACCACTCTGACAATATACCGAACAGACATCTTATACCCTGCTGTTCTCTCCTTGCTCTCACACCCACCTGCACACATTCTCACCCTTCTCCTGAATGTCCTCTGTTGCATTGTACATTCCCAAACCCCTCCATCTCCATTCTCTTTTATGTGCTCCCTCAGTTTGCTTCCTCCTACACCATCAGGTTCCTTTGCAAAATAATGAATGCAGTTTTAGGAAAGACATATTCTATTTTTCACAGATAACAGAGATAGAATGCCAAATTGTGTTAAATGACAAATTTCTTTCCACTTTGATGACAGAAGCATATCTGCAAATTAGCACTTCTGCTCAGACTGTACTTTTAACAACAGGACTTAACTGCTAACTAGTTCTCTGCAAGGTCCCTGGTAGAAGGTGAAATGGGAAAGCCAAGAAAAGCCTCCTGGGCTTCCTCTGAAAGCAAAGGAGCTTCTCCACAGGGATGGCTGGCTCTCATTTGAAAATTTTCTCTCCTACTCTGATGCCCTTAAGTCCTGTGCCATAGTTGCAACAAAATCTCTCCCCAAGCGAACTTGCATGTACCTCCATTTCTCTTTCACTTCCAGTGATCCCACCAACGCCCTCATCAAGCAGCTGGCAACTTGTGCTGCCACCGAGGGCTGCTCCTGCACCCAAGTGGCTGCAGCGAGGAACCTCTTCTGTGGCAGAGACCGACCGTAAGTCTGGCAGTATGGGACAGGCCATTAGGGATCTACACCACGGGTATGTGCAGTTGGAGAAGGGATTCTTTAGAGTTTCTTGACGAAGGGGATGTAAAACGTTCATGGATTTGGTTGTATTCAAGGGACACCGCAGCATGTGTGTAGGTCCCAGATGATACTTTGATTATCCACCTCTGTAACAAGTGAGAAAAAGCCTTCAAAAATCTAGGTAGGTAGGACTCAGATTTAATACATCCTGCGAAATGCACTCTTCTTTACATGCAACAACAGATTCAAAACATTTGCAGCAGTTTATGCCGAAGAAACAGCTGAACGCTGTGCAAGAATTTACAGAATACGGAGCAATGCACAGCCTAAATCAGACACACTTAGCATGGTGGAGCACAGCAGCCCCAGCAGATCCATCACTGTCCACACTCAGCAGAGTCACAAACACTTCTTTACTGACAGAAACATTCATCTGCAACATTCTAAGATCTATTGGTGTTCGCAAGGTGCAGGGTTTTCCTGAGAGGAGTAGGAGTTAGTCTGTGCCTACATTTGGCAATGTTATTTCAAGTCCAAGACGGGTCACAGACAATTTATAAATCTCCCTGAAAAATAATGTTCTTTCTGGAGGTGCTTATACCTATTCAACAGTCACGTAACTCGACGGCCCGAGAAATGACTTTCCACAAATTGTTTTGTTTTAAAAATAACTTTTTTTAATATGTATTTCAAAGGCTTATTTACAGTAAGTACAACCATTAACTCTGTCAGGTACATGGGCAGATGTGCAGATCAGCACACACACACATGTAGCTCTCAGGTTAATGTTAAGCTGCTTACATAGTTTCAAAATCCAAGATTTGTCCCAGCTGACAAGGCTCTAACAGAGGTAACCGGAACAATTGTGTTACAGATTAGAACAACAAAAGTATTCATCAGTTCTGTGTCCACACTTAACAAGCCTTCCTCCTAACAACTTACACTGTACGTATCACTGTAACGCATGAGCATCTAACATAGGCTTCCACCAAAGATCAGCAGATTCTTGTCAAATAGGTGAAACTTGATTCACTGAACTCTGTAAAAGCATTTACTTTTCTCCATGTTTTAAAAAAAATAATCACGGCGTGTCTTGCCTGCCTTTCAAGTGCCAAACTCAAACCGCAGTGCATGCACTCAGCGCCCATTAAAAGCAACAGGAGATGCAAGACATTGTCCATTTGGCCTCCACTAAGTGAAATGAAACACAGAAAAGAAAAAAGGCAGGGAAAAAAAAAAAAAAGGCAGATTTCGCTAAAGGTTACACAGCAACAGAGCCAGAGGTTGAACTCGGTGAACTCTGACTACCTCCCCCACATGATTGTGACTATATCCACTGTGGGGAACTAGGGCAAACCGGAGAAGAGTGACATTGATTAGAAAGCAAAATGGATTAGGAAGCGGACACATTATAGTGGGTCAAAAATAGACAACATAGGAAGAGAAGAGGAAAAGAAAGAAAATTGAGAACAACAGATGAAAAATACTGAAAAGTACCATCAGAAAGGAAGTAAGATGATGTGATGCAACAGCAAGCCTAAATAAAAGGAGATGCACTGATGAGAGGCATTTTTCAGACATGTTACATAGCTGATTGTCAAAATATTTTCAGTAAATACACAGATGCCACGTTTGCCTCTAGTAGGTGTATTTACTATCCAATGGCCTGGGTGGCAGGTTGATGTTGAGGGAAGATAACTCTTCTCTTTACTCCTTATCCATCCTAGCCCCTAATCACATCTGCAGCTGCCTCAGAAACATTATCACAGAGCATTAGTTACTGACTGCACTTGGCAAAACCCAAAAGGCAGTTGTGATCATGCCCTCAAGAGTTTTGAAAAGGAGAATTACTTTCAATTCCTTACAAAAGACTTGAGACTCGCCATAGGGTAGACTCTTTAAAAATACACTGCTGAAGTTGCTGGTACTTAAAGCACAAACCAGAGCAGTGCTGTGACTGTCCTAGAATCAGACACCTCACATCTAGGTGACAATCAGCAGCTCACCAGTAGAGCACAGCCAACACAGTCCTGCTTCCCAGGGTAGAGGCAGGCTCAGAACAGTAGACTAGCATGGACATTTGGGACAAAAAGAAGGGAATGTGGAAGACAGCAAGAATGGGTATGTCCAACCTCCTGAGCCCTATCTGTCCTTTCTGAAATTGCCAAACACTCCATTAAGCTGAAAGACCAGACAAAATGTTTTTCCCTGCTGCTGGCCTATTTTGCATATGCCTGAACAAAGCTCAAACTCATTGTTATCCTTAAAATACTAAAAGCATTCTCCACAGGCTTCAGATAAAACTAACTCCCAACCAAACTCATCTTCCTGACTACCAAAACCCCTCCTTCCAGGGCTCTCTAAAAATCAAAGCTGTCTGACACACTGTTATTCCCCCAAAATAGCATTTATCAAAGCTTCATTTTTAAAGTTTGACTGGTGTGAAACTACTGCTAAACTGGAAAAAAACGGGGCCCTGGTCTCTGCAGTTGCACCTGTGCATCTGGAGTGGGAGTAGGCAGAAGCCCTGCTGGTGGCACTGACAAAATTCATCCCTCCAACGGCACCAGAACAGATGGATCCACACAGCACAGGGATGAACCCACCACCATGTCCTTCAACGGCTCAACATCAGCACTAATCAAATCAGAAGGAAAATGCATACAGAAAAGGTTGCTTTGCTTTTTCACCCCTCAGTACCCAAGCCTTTTGCATTCCACTTCCCAGCCCCAGTCCTGGAAACACCCATCAGCTGTCCACACCCTCCATCACTTGACAACTACAGCCAGCTACAGGCATCTGCATCCCTGGAGGGCTGTGTCTCCCGAGGAGGAAGAAAGAGGCAGAGAAGTGGCATCATGAGCTGCGGCCACAGATCTGCTCGATGTGGTAGATCTCCTTGGGACAGTCAGCAGACAAGATGAGAGGTGCATCCTCTGTTATCACAACATCATCCTCAATGCGCACACCAATGCCACGAAACCTCTCTGGGGCACTCATGTCATCCTCAGGGATATAAATGCCTGAAAGAAGAAAGGGAATTAAAAGACACAACACTCCCAGAACAACATCTTTCCCTTACTGCACCACCATGAGAGCAAGGTTGGATTTTCAGCCACATAAAACGAGTTTGATCCTGAAATTTTTTAATAAGAAAAGCTACTCTTAAAAATACTCATCACAGTTGGTGGGCAAAGAAAAGAAAGTGTCCCCCAAGTGCCTACAGACACTAGCACGTTAATAAAAACTTCCACAGCTACAGCTGCCCTTTCCGCACTTCTTCCTCTCAATGCTATGTTCACAATGATGATTTTAACAATGTTCTGAATAGAGAGAGAGAGAGGAGCCAAGCATTAAATATCAGTTTCCCGCTGACAGCTCCAAATCCAGTGACAAGCAGAAAGGAAGATTCATCGCGAAATGCCTAATTTGCAAAGCTAAGTTGTGAATGCCTGTAATTGCAGACTGCAATGCTTGAGACTTACGCTACCAGTGACTGGTAGTAGTTTAGTCTCAGTAACAAAGAACGCTGCACAAGTGAATTGACCTTGCTTCTCTGCAGTGTGATTGACCCGCGCTGATGTGGGTCAAACGCTAACAGCCCGAGGTCTACAGTACTCTGCTTCCTGCTCAGTAGACACTTGCTGAGAGTTTACCCCCACAATTTGTTACCCTGGCTATGTTTGGGAGGGAAATAGGGGTTTCTAATACTGTTACGGCTTTGGGAGGGGAATAACTCAAGGTTTTCCAATACTGTAATAATTTTCAACTTCCCAGAAAGGACCCGAACACTTTGGTGTGAGGGACCAGCTAACTAGTGAAAGTAATACTGTTATTCTCAGTGTTGCATGCTTTTGTCCACCACTGACTGTTATCTTTTTACCTGGTTCAATGGTTATCACCATGCCTGGCTGGAGGGGGAGCGATCGGGATATATCTGGGGTATCATGAACATCCATGCCCAAGTAATGGCCCACATGATGTGGGCAGTACTTTCGAACAGCCTAGCAGAAGACAAAACAAGACAAAACAGAGGCAGTTAAACACAGCCCAACCTCTTGTTTCAACGCAAAAGATGGGGAGAAGAGATAGAATAGTTATGTGCTTAACTATTGTTGCCATGACTAGGTCACCAGGGGCTGCCTTCCATTTACCCTCAAAACCCACCCGTACCAAGTGCGTATTACGAGCATATTGCAGACTGCCTTTCCCCCTCACTGAAAAGCCCATCAGCACCTCAGCATGTCAGGCAAGAATTCAGTTTTCAGCTCACTGAGCTTTGCTGCCCCAACCCTTTCCATCCCTTAAACATCCAAGCCCTGCCTTGCTCCCATCAGCAGACCCTGACAACAGGCAGCAGCTGATACAGCTCCTACGTGATGTGGCAAAGAGGTCTCCTATGCATGACAGAGCGAATGCTGTGCCGATTTCACTCAGTAGCTACAGCACGATTTTAATCCACCTCTACAGGGCACAGACACCGCCTTCCCCCCGCACCATCCTAATCCCCCTCTTTCCAGAGAGGAGCTCCTTGACAGCAAAGCTAATTCCTTCTCTGCCCCACGCTCCTCACATTCACTGGGGACTGAGCTGCAGACGCTGGTCTCATCTGGCTGTGCTGCCGCCTGCTGAGAGAAACCGGCATGATAGCCTGCGTTCACAGACAGAACTTGTGCTGCTCTTGCACTGACACTGTAGGACAATTAAATCTGACAGAAATATGTCCTGCTGCCAAAGGGGTAGTTCTGTCACCTGGTTCCAACGTCTTTCTTGTATCAGCATCGGCAGTCATGCAGGTTTGCAGTAAGTGGGACTGGATAAACTTCTCTTAGCTGCACACCAATCCTATTTTATCTGCAGGTTCAGCTCTAAGGCAGTTTCCCAACCTTGTTCACCAGGTAGCTCTGTGAATTCCAATACTGACACAAAATAGTGCAGAAGGGGCAGCAGGTGGAATGACTGAGAAGAATGGGCTGCACCTTTTGGTGGCACGGCAGGTTTCTGCTGCTAAACACATCACAAAACTATGACTAACTGCCTGCAGCCAGCCCTGGACCCAGAATTTTGTCTCTTTACGTCCCTTCAGACTGCCTGTACTCTAAAGCTGCATCTACGCTACCAAGCAGTGCAGACCGATGGGAATGATCTGCAGAGTGAAACAGCAAGTGCGGAGGAACAAATATTCACACTATGTGCGTATAAGACTGGGAGGCGTTACTTCAGATCAAATTGTGTGCTGAACGGTTAAAACGCATCTTCAAGTTGAGCCTTGTCTAAGAGAAATCCAGTCCTGTGCTGAGACCAGCTCACAACATGAATTAAAGCACAGCGTGTGGCAACAATTAGAAGATACTTCTCAAAAGCACATTCCTAAGCCAAACTAAAGCCACTAACATAACCCAATGAGAAAACAGTTGGGCCTAGCAGGGGGAAGCTGGAGTAAAACCACTTCAAGTACCTTGAAGAAGTGGCTCTCAGTGATGCTGCTCTTTAGGACCCCCAGCTCTTTCAGTTTCTGTCCAATAAGGCTCAGCATGAGGTTGTAGATATTTTCTAGACTCACACCTGGAGAGCAGAGGCTCAGGCAGGACTTCTGGATATCCAGGACAGCCTGGTATAGTTCTGCTTGGGGTTTGGTGAACCTGTAAACCATTGAGAAAAGGAACAAAGGACATTTCTCACAATTAAACCTCTACCCAGAAGCTATTTTGGGGACAGATTCAGTTCAATGCTGGAAGCAGTGAAAGTCAGAAAGGAAAGCAACTGGCTCCTTACATGAAATGCCAGACAAGGCATCACTGCAACATGCCCTTCAACACACTGAGTAGAGGCAGGGTTTCTCAGCTGACAACCTAACCCCAAAGCAAAGCAAGGCAAAGCTACTGCAGGAAAAAGAATGCACTTGAGCCAAAACATACAGGAATCAAACACAAAACCACAGGGACATCACATCAGCAAATTCACAAGTGACAGAGCCATGTAAAGGTCAACTAAACTCCTGTTTTCTTACACACAACTAGAGTCAGCCACAGCTGAACGCACAAGAGCCCTCCCTGCACTTTAAGCATGTTAGAATAGCTGAAAATAGCGGTAATCACACATATTCATGCAGTAATTAATGAGGCAGTGGGGAATACAGCTCCTCATGCTGAAAGATTAGTTTATATAATTTGATTACTCTGAAGAACCACAGAATGGGACACGTTAAAACTACTCACACAGAGATTAAACACACATACACTCAATCCATCAATTATTTAAGAGCTTGTTCCTCAAAACAGCCTTATCGCAGCCTACCTTCCATTCACGGGCCAGGTACGTGTGATGTCACTTACGTAGCAGGAAGACTCGCATCCACCATCTAGCAAGACCAGTTCACCATCCTGGAGCATAACAGGAAAAAACGCCCTGTGGGTCAGTCTGGCTGTTAACTGAATCGATTTTTCTGTCTGAGAGCAGGAAAGGAGATTATGTATTTATTTTTGCAAAGCAGCGGCAGACATGTGAATTCTTCTTGCAAAACAACACCTCAGGTGGTACTGTTTATAAATAGGCTATTCCAGTTGGATTGTTTCTCTGCAAGGTAGTGTCTGACTGTTACGCTTATCTACAGCCTGAACTCTTAATGTGCTGATTTTCAAACACTTTGGAGTAAAAAAAAGCCATTCTGAGACATCAGCCCATTCACACCTGGATTGCTTACTACAGCAAATTACACCAGTGACTCCTTTCACTAGAAGTTCTCTGCTAGTGACAGAGACAGAAGGGTTTTGCAACAAAAACACGAATTTCTGAGCTACCCACAAGACCACTAACAGCTGAAGATTTAGGCTTCTCACAATATGGGAGGACGCAGCAAAATCACTTCCCTGACAGTGTATCACTACTCTAAACGCACTATTGAATAGCTTACACCATCTTCCCTGTTCTCTTCTGGGACTTTCTTGACTGCTCTAAGATATACTTCCAAATCTATCTGGTGATGAAGAAAAAACTTTTGGAGATGTGAACCTCCAATTCACTTCAGCAAAACTGTTCACATCAAGTAAATCGCTGACTGCACATCTTCCAAAAAGCCATGCAAAAAAGACAAAGGGCCAGGAACAAAATCACTGCCTTACTTTCCCTCTCCAAAGGGGCCAACAACAAATAAAGCAGTGAGATCTGTAAAAAGTTTGGATTAAATTCTCTACGGATGTATACTACATGTAATCCATTGCCTGTTAAAGAGATTCACTCCACAGATCTGTGACTGTGCCAGCAGCCATGATGTGAAATGACAAGGAATAATTCTAGCACATTAAAGGAAAAAATAAGAAGGAGACTTTCATTGCTAGCACTACTTCCAGTGTTAGCTACTATCACTGTGTACAGTTAAGTGCCACAAACACTTACACAGCAGATAAACTAGGAGTGAGCAGATCTCGCTATCCCACTGAATAGACAAGCCATTAACTATCCATTTAAATTGTATTTTTAACTTTTTCAGAACAGCTGGTTCGATTCTTTAAGTAAAATATGAAATGATAGCACTTGCCTTCTTCCAAGCAATTAAACAAGCTAAGTAACAATTTATTGGCTAAGGGAATTCAGCCTGTGGTTTGACTGTTCAGCAAGTGCCTTATGTCATGCATCTTGTTGAGTCCACTAAGTGGTGGACTGAATGAAGTCCACATGAGGCCATAAGCAGCCTTCAGATACCTTCCAAATTAGACAATTTGTTAGCCTATCTGGCAACAAGATCGGTAGGAAGTAGCACACAAAGGAAAAGAAAGAGTCAAGTTTATGGGTTTAACCTCCTACTTAACAGTTTTGAAAAAAAACAAGTGACAGTCATTTAATTGAACAACTTTAACAGAAGCAACTGGAGTTACATGAGCGCGCCTGACCTTGGATGACAGTACAACAAAGGAGGCTTCTTTCTGCCAAAAGCAGCCTGTCATATCTTTTGTATGTCTGTCTCTGCAGATCATTTCAAGGTCTGCTAGCATGCCAGCTTCAAGAAAAAACAATGCTAGTGGGAAAGTTTCTTCCTGCATTAAGACAGAGGAAAAATATGCTCCTCTGAGAAGTGAATCGTGAGTAACGCGGTGGGGGAATATTAGTCCTGAAAATACTTGTATGAATCTAAAGATGTACTGTCAGGAAAGCTGGAGAGGATTCAATTCAATAATGTCAATCTTCAAAATAAGACAAGACATGTTAATTTACCTACAGCCAACTAATCCACCTCTCAACATTTAACGCTGATCCTTCTACTCTTTGTTCACCTACCCTGCTTTGCTGGCCTACATGGAGTCCAAAATGCTTTTCAGCTTTGCCAGAGCAG